TGACAAATCTCTATCTTCAATATTGTGCTTTTGCTATGTTAATTTTTTGCAATTTTCGAAAATGCAGAGTTAACCGAAAATGGGATCAGCACCACGTTTTTATAGTCCTTTGATACACATGATAACATAAAATGATTTTTTGTGCATCTCGTGATGTCGACCTTTTACTGTTTTAATAGGCATCTTTTCCAGCTTTTTCTATATGTTGCATTCTTTTCATTTCACATATAGCATGCATAAAAATTTCGCTCGCTATTCAATTATATTTTATGGTTTCAGATAAGATATTTTTGTAAACCGTTTCCGCGACTATTTATCTTTCCACGAAAACATTTGAATTTATATTTTCATACAGAATATTATATCTTGATTGAATTTACTGCCCCTGGGGGAAAATGCAATCAATGCTCTGAGTTCAATAGCCCCACTAAAATGCTTCTTTCCAGGGATATATTATAAATTCTTCTAAACTTCTTTCCAGGGATATATTATAAATACTCATTTTTTAAATAATATTTTTCATTAAGGGAAAAACTTCAATTTGATGTCGCAGTCTTCATGTATTGCAACTTCGTATATACTAAACGTGAAGAAATGCAGACTTTTTATGACAAACCTGGTATTACGAAATTATAGTGGAAACCAAAATATTTACTGTGTCGAAAAGATCGAACAAAGAAGAAACGAGTCATAGTGAATTCTTGGAACGTTCTACACGAGCTATTACAAATAATCAGATTTTAGTGAAATATAGAAAATTAAACATTCTCTTAATTATATTAAGGAAGTCAGTATCTGCTCATTTGCATGTTAAAACCATTTTCGTACATAGGAAATTATAACATTTCATAAAATGCTTTATTATTTTCATACTTGTCAGTAGTTACATACGTATATGAAATGCGATGTCCGTACATTCTGTAACTAAATATTTACAATTTTTTGCATATGCAAAATTTTAACCCCGTAATCATAGCAGTGGTCATTTTATAAAAAAACTAATATTGATTTCAAATCATGTTTTTTTCTTGATTTATATACTTTCTTGACATGTATTGAACAAATGAAGTGAAATATTAAACATAATTTAATAAAGTCTAATATTTTGTTTCCGTTTTAAGAACTATATCTTTCATGAAGTTTTAAATTTATAAATAAATAATGGAATGCAAAAGGAAAACATTTTCCCTAACAAGATAAATTTATATTTATGGCAATATTTAGCACTTTAGGTAACATACATATTCAAATAAAATTTTCCAAGTCGTCTGTATTCCATACTGTTAATGAAGCACTTTGCATTTACCAAGAATTTATTTTCGTGTACTGTTGAATAGAGTATTGCAGAAAGTGAATGGACAATACAAACATCACACGCGGTTCCATTTCAATATTTTCAATCACAGGGTCACTAATCGACTAATTGCAAGATTTGGCAGTCCACAATCATACGCTGTAGAAGTAATCGATATGATTGAGGTATGAGCAGAACCGTATATTAACTGCGAAGCACGCATGAGAGCAAATGTCACAATCAGGACTCGATTAGTGTATGTTTGTTCGCTTCAAGTTAAAAAAAAGCAGAAAAAAGACAATTAAGGCCTATCAAAATCAAAGGGAAATTTCAAAATGTGTGATACGATACATGAGAGAGAAAACTCTTTAAAACGACCCCCTGAAAGCTAGACAATGGCAAATGTTACGTTTATTAAGAAAGTAAATAAAATATTAACACAATACATTATAGTTTTTACCTCTCTCTTTTACTGTATACTTAGAAGCAGAATGACGAATAAAGATACAAGAGTGTGGTTGGCAATGTTTGAAAACTCGAAATATTGGCTTCCGAGTAAAGTAACGTATTTCATTTACAAGTCAACAACACATAGGATTTGATACTGTTGTTGACAAAAGAATACTCCAACTTACTCTTTTCACAACTAGCAAAAACAGAACAGAACAAAACGTGCGAGTAGTGGAACTACATTTATGTTCAAAAGCAAAGCAAGGGGCTGTGTAAAAGCTGTATGCCACTTTGGGGAGGGAAAGAAATGCAACATTTGCTGTCCATGTAAAGTGAGGGGCGTTTCAGCATTACCCCAAATGATCAAAAACAATAGTAGGATCAAGAAAACACGATTTAGATTGGATAAGAAAATTTGTTTTCTATTTATTTTATTTTTACACCATTTTTTCTTTATTTACTTGAGTGTTCTAAATAAGGTAATACTCGTGAAATTACTCGTTTGTTTCAAACATTACAATATCTTTTGTTTCCCAAAAAGGAAGTTAAATGAAATCATGCTAATAAAGTCATATGAATACTCGCCGAATACCGAACGTCTGGTGCAGAATTGTAGCCTGCTACCCTGATCGGTTGGTTTTTTCGATCAATACCAGACGAATGTCGGAGCAGTACTTTAACAAACGGATCACGGACCGTGCGCGATCTTTCCTGCCTGATCGATGTTCTATCCCCCCTCTCTCTCTCGCTCTCCCTCGCGCGCTCTCTCTCTCTCGGGCTCTCTCGCTCTCTCTTCCCTCTCTCTCAGACACACACACTTACATGCATTACAATACAGTAGATGTAGGGAGATTAGTCGGGAGCTTAGAGCTTGCCCCGTCTGGGAGCGGTGTGCCTCTGGGGAGACACCTGAAGGGAAAAATCCCCCGCAAGCCGACGTGTAGGTCGAGAATGGGTCTCACCACCCAGAGGGGAATAAATCACAGTTACATCCGGATAAATAACATTGACTGTACTACCAGGACTAATGACCATAGCAGTCGACGTGCCGAGAAACATTTAATCATTAAATCAACCGAACGGCGAAAGCGTTCTACCATCTGACAGCCGACCACCCTGAGCGAGAGTGGGGGTGGCGGAGGCGGGCGAGGAAAGCGCCGAAGGATGATCTTTAGTGTACTCACCTTTAGTGTTGAATATTTTGATGTCGTGGATCGGTAGAAAAAAATTTAATTTGGGTATAAATTAGTTCAAAATTAGAACAAAATTCTAGTATTTTCAGCTTTTTAGTTTCATGCGTTTTTTTATGTGGGTATGCTGACTTAACGGTAAGTTAGCCTACCCACCTTTAGTGTTGAATATTTCGATGTTGCGCATCGTTAAAAAAATTAAATTTGGGTATATATTAGTTCAAAATTAGAACAAAATTCTAGTATTTTCAGCTTCTTAGTCTCATGCGTTTTTTTTTGTTTGTGTGGGTAACGTTAAATTAGTCTACCCACATTTCCTGTTGAATATTTTGATGTTGTGCATCGGTAGAAAATTTTTAAATTTGGGTGTAAATTAGTCCTTAATTAGAACAAAATTGTGGGGCACTGTTTTTCAATTTTGTGATAAGTGGGTACGCTAACTTTACGGACGTCGCCGAAGGGCCGACGCGCGGGGGTTGGATGGACGCGCGGGCGCGCCGTGCGAGACGGGCGCCGAAGGCACACTGCGTGCCCGAATCGGCAATAACACGGCGAACGAGCGCCAACGGCGCCCCCCTGCGCCGTAACGGATGGCGACAGAGAGCGATCGCTTCCTTAAACCATCGCGCTCGTGATTCTTTTTTTTTTCTTTTTTTTCTGCAGACAAGCGCTTCGCGACCCGTCGTTCTTTCGTCCTCTTCGCCCGACGTTTGATCGCAGTCGATACGTCGATTGCACCGTCGCGTCGCAACGGCCACTTCCAGGAACACCGCTGGGGAATATGGATATCTACCAGGGGAACGAGCTTACGCAACGGAAACCAGTGTAATATTACCGAACACACGGCGGATCGGATAATATTGGTATGCAATGCGGCAATCAATTTCTGTGTTGTGAGTTTGTGATGTGATTGTCAAACTTCAGACGACAATTTGGGTAAAATCTTAATTCGTAAATACAATGCAAAGTTCTACAAACCAAATAACTACAGGTATTTGTAATATAAAATAAATTTTTTTTCAAATACTTCAATAACGTTATTTTCAATTATTTTTGTTCTCTACTAAGAATTTTCCTTTTAATTAAGGCGAATCAATATTAGCTACTTATGGAAAAGGTAAACTTTTTAAACATTCATGCATGACTAGGCTGACTTTTTATTTTCTCGTGACTAGTTCGTAATAAGAGAAAGTCATGTAATACTGAAGGAAAAGTGCCCATTCAGGGAGATGGCCGATTTATCTCAAAACATCTCCTTTTACCTTTCTGACTGGTTTAGATGATTTCGCCTCATGAGTTTGGCTAGATTGGAAAATATCAATTTTGCCGCTAAACTTGTATGCGAATGGAGCTGTTCAATTGATGGCACGTTAACATCACGTAAGACGCATCTGTGTCACTCACACTATAAGTTTGACAATAGGGATCACTTTCTTTTAGCCATGAAAAATGTGTTCTTCCGAGCACTTCTGTTACGTTATTCTAGATTCGATGGATGCTTATGCCCTCATCTTAAACCTCGTTTGATCTTAACATATTTGATCTGATAAATTTGTTATATAGGCTTCATGTGTAGTTGTAATACTGCCAAAAAGTTCACGAAAAGTTAATTCCTTTAAGTTTTAGAAGGCAATGAAATAAGCAAAAAAAGATAATTATATCGTAGGTAATTACCACGAGTGCTTTGGAAATTGTCGATAAATTCCCGACTCGCGAAGCGAGGAGGGGATTTATCTGAGAATTTCCAAAGAACGAGTGGTATTTAATAGGAGTATTCCACGAATGTAATTGTGTCGAACATAGTTCAAAAATGCGCCAAATATTGATAACTGCAAGCTAGATTAAAATCGCATGCGACACAGCGATCGATGGAGGCGGCGATGAAGGCGGCGATGGAGGCGGCGATGGAGGCTCTGATATTGATAGCAATGACAGTATAACTACTCACTGACACTCCTCACTGAGTTTGACAAGTCTACCATTGCTGGTGATCCCCACTTGTCAATCGCCACCCTCATAAGCCTAACCTAACGTAACTAGTCTGAAGCCGTGTAAGAATTGATGCATGGTGCTGGGAGAGGAGAAAGGGTAGTGCGAGAGCTAAGGTGATACCTCCCATCACGACTCCCATACGTCTGTCACGTACAGTAATTTGGGAATCTCACCAGCCCGTAAGGACAGTGTGCCGGTGTTGGCTGACACTATCTTTTTAAAACCCGTCCGTATGTGATTTTTTTAAAATCACAAATGCACTTTACGCCCTCTCTGCACCGCGCTGTAACACCTCGTTCCGCTCTGCTCCCCCCGGACCCGTTTCGCTCCGCTCCCTCCAGTCCCGTTCCGCTACCCTCCACCGCGCCCCGCCCAGCCCCCCACCCTGTTGTGCTCTGCTCCGCGCTGTTTCCGTCGTCGTCCTCTTCGCTCTCGTCCTACTCTTATAGCCTCGCCCTTTCTCACGCCTCTGTCGCTTCTTCCGCTCTGTTTCCCCTCTCTGCCTCGTCCTCTCCGCCTCGGTCCCTCTCCGCCTCGTCTCCTCTCCGCTCGTACCTCCGCCTCGTCCCTCTGCCTCGTCCCTCCTCCGCCTCGTCCTCTCCGCCTCGTGCCTCTCCGGCCTCGCCCCTCTCTTTCAGCCTCGTCCCTCTTCGGGGGCCTCGTCGCTCTCCGCCAAGTCGCTCCCTCTCCGCCTCGTCCCTTTCTCCGCCTCGTCCCTCTCCGCTTCTCGGTCCTCTTCTTGCCTGCCGTCCCATCTCGGCCGCTCGTCCCTGCTACCGCCTGCGTCGCGCTCTGCCGCCTCGTCCTCTACGCATCGGTCCCTCTCTCGCCTCGGACCCCTCTCCGCCTCGTCTCTCTTTCCGGCTTACGTCCCTCTTCCCCGCCTTTCGGCCCTTATTTCGCCTCGTCCCTCTCCGGCCTCGTCGCCTCTCCGCCTCGTCCCTTCTCCGCCTTCGTCCCTCTCCGCCTCGGTCGCCTCTCTCAGCCTCGTCCCTCTCCGCCGTGGCCCCTGGCTCAACGCCTCGTCCCTCTCCGCCTCGTCCCTCTCCGCCGTCCCTCTTTTCGCCTCTCCTCTCCGCGCTCGCGCTTCCTGCTCCGCTGGCCCCTCTCCGCTCGTCCTCTCCGCCTTCGTCCCTCTCCGCCTCGTGTCCTCTCCGCCCTCGTCTGCCCTTCCGCCTCGGTCCATTCTCTTCATCTTCTTCGATTAGCCCCTTTTTCCGCCTCCGTCCCTCCCTCCGCCTCGTGGTCCTCTCTTGTCTCGTTTTACCACCTTTTTAAAAATTCGTCTTTCTGGTGTCGGCCTCTCCGCTTCCTCTCTCACTGCATTTCATCAATCACTCGCTTCGGACTTACTCAGCCCTCTCTCGATTCGTTCCTCCTTTTCGATCCTTGCGAAAGAGACGTCCTTGACGCTCGTCTAATCTCGGTCCCGTCTTCCCCT